ACAGAATCAGCATTCGTTTTTTTTGTCTGCTTCCACCTTTTTTATCATTAAGGTAGGAGGACCAGGTTATATCACTTGGGAGTCTCAAAATATATAGTTTCCCTTTATCTAGAGAATGATTGCTGATGCTGGCTCTAGTACTGTAGTAAGGCTACAGGATAAATATACTCCAGAAAATCTCTTCAGAACCAAAAGGGAAGAGTTATTTTTTTTAGTTTACTCTTCTAATTTTGGGGGAGCTTTGTCTTTTTTTGAGTCTTTAAAAGCTTTAAAAACTTTTCCAGTCTCAAAACTTAAACCTCAAGTCTTTTTTTTCAAACAATTCAATATAGTATAATACAGGATCATATTAATGCGTTTGCTTTCTCAGCCCATTTATCATTAACTAATACAACAGAGACATATGTTTTTGTTTTATTTCCTCCATGTCCAAAGTCATTTATGAGCCCAGTTCAGTTAGGATGTGGGAACCTCTCCTGCGAGTGCAGAGCAGGGGCTGGAGAAGTAGCCCCCAATGTGTTATGTGATACGTTGCTCTGCTCAAGCTCTAACACACATCTGTGGAGATTGAAGACAGCTGTGGATATGTCCACTGATGGAATAGTTAAGGAAATTTTCTTAAGTTTGTAACTGCAATTTAGAAGCTATGGGTTGTGTAGTTTTTTTAGCTGAGAATTTCTGGAAAAGATAAATTACTGACTAATAGTTAAGATCAGTCTCTTGGGAATTTAAACAAAAAACAGTGTTTTCACTGATTATAGAAGATCCTGTATTTGGAATGTAAGAAGCAATGGGAAACAATTTCAGAAATTGCACAACACTGCTAAAAATGTGTTAGAGTTGAGGACTCATCTAGTTTGGAAGGAACCTCTGACTATCTAGTCTAGGGGCATCTTCTCTACAATTGTCCTTTAGATATTGGAGGATTCTGATTAAGTCTTTCCAGAGCCCTTGTTGGGATGCATAAACTCAGTTCTTTAAACCTCCATTTGTTGAGTTCTCTGATTCTTGAATAGTCTTGGTTCACTTTGTTGGACTTTCTTCAGTCTTTCAGGGACTATGGTGTGCTGGAGCTGGACAGAACTGGACACCACAGTCTAGCTGCCTTGCGACAATCCTGTCTCTTCACCTGCTTCACTTGTACTGCCCCAGCTCAGGATGTGGTTGGTTTTCATGCCTTGCTGACTCACGTTCAAACCCAGTTATTTACAACTTAACCACTATCGAATTTGACCTGAAGCTGATGGATCGTTTTATACCTCTCACATTTCACCCTTGTTTCAGGAAGAATTTTCTTGATCCTTTTTTGTGTGGAGGCACAAATGAATACTCATTTTGACATGGCTGCTGCTACTCAGTTCTTCACAGTTTAGCAGGAACTTGAGTCATGCTCGAAATGTAACTGGATGTGGATCTTCCAGTGTCCCCCACTGTTAAATATTAGAGACTGTCAAATTTTGTCCGTTTCATATATAAAATGTTATATTCCTTCTCATACCCTGTTTCTAGAAAAGATTTTTAAAATCCACCACTGTTATTCATTCCCACTTCATGTTTTCCACAGAGCTTTTAATAGCAACAGCTTATTTCTTAACTCCTTTGTTAGCTTTTGTATGTGTGTGAAAACCTCTCCCAAACAATAGAGGGTGATTCCATTCCCATCATTAAGTCTTGAATTTGAATAGGCAAGGAGAGATAAATTTCCTTCTAGCTTACCTGTCTCTAGGAAGGCATATTTCTCACTTGACCATTTATTTGAAAATATGGCCTTTAGTTGCTTTAATACTTTTTGCTCAGAAATGGCTAGAAGAATAGTTCTGGATTAGATTCTAGCAGAACAATTCTCTTAAAAGAACCATTTATTTAATAGAAACAGTAACAAAGAAGAAATTCTGTCAGAGGTTTTAGGCTGATGTTCTGTTTACTGTCAATTCTTTGAGAAATAAGAGCTTAATACAAGATTGATTTCATTATATTGACCAATTTTTTTCAAAAGCCACATGTAGTTAAAAGCATTTGGGAAATAAAATAGTGCTATATTCAAATGTGCCAGTTACGTGCTCAGAGCCCTACATTAAAAATAAAAAGTCAATTTAAATGACAAACTTTCCAGTTTTTAGACATGTTTTTTAGCGTCTGACCAATAATATACTTTTTTAGTCTGAGAAGTAATCATCATTCATAATGCTCCAAGCAATTGGAAACAGAAACCAGTCGCTTTTAATTGTTTCCTTCCGTTGTATTTAATTTGGCTTCTCTGAGTGCATTAAGATTCTTGGATGATGGATTTGTTTTCTGCTTGTTGCCTTAGTACTAAAAGCTAGACCCTACAGAAAGGTTTAGGGAAAAGGAATATCTAGTTTTATGTAAATGTATTTTAAATAGTCTTTCTTTATGCTTATAGTCAAAATTCAACATCCTACTAATGTCTAAAGAGGCTTTAAGTTTGCACAACTATTTAAAGGAAGATGATCCAGTTTTAGTTTCAGTTTTAATTTTCCGAAGGAGTTTGTCCTATCTGTTTTCCTTGTCGTTGACATGCTGAGGTGAGAGAATATTCGTCTGTAGCTATAAAAATTGACCCCGGGATGTGGAGGTGACACCTTTCATCCACGGCTTTGAACCACAGGTGTAAGTAGGTTCTAGCAGTCTTGCACATCATTGCAGCTGTGTTTTCTAACTTTGAACATATTCTTGCTTCTTGATACCCATGCTGAATGCTGCTATAACTCTAATTAGTGTATTGCTCATTTTAGTATATTTTTCTGCTTCTCCTTTCTTTGTATTCCCTCATTTCCAGTATATGCTGCTGCTCTTGCTTTAAAGATGAGGAGCAACCTACTGCTAAGTTTCATCTCTCATTCAGCACTAAGATTCCCTATCTGTGTTCCAGTGTTGTTGGTGTTCAAGGTCAATTTTCTTTTTTTAATTCTCAAATACTCGTGTACTTCCTCTGAAATATGTGGAGCTGCTGGGGAGAGTTTGCCCTGTAGCCAGCCACAAAATCTCACTATCCTACAGAGTCCTCATGACAGCTCACAGTAAAACCGAAGGTGGATGTGACATCAGTTGATCAGCTATGACTAGTATTTGTCGTGCAAATATTTACTCTCTTTTCTTTGCTTACTGATAATCAGTATTTAAATATATATATATGTGTGTGTATATATATATATATGTATGTACATATATGTGCACACACACATTATATATATACATATATAGAGCACCTTGCCCCACAGAGCAGTGACTCCTGGTCTGTGATAAATACGGTATGTTCTACATCTTATCCCCTTTCACTTGGCTCTCTTGGAAGTAGGGAGAATATTTCATCCAAGGAGTGAAAACAAGATTTTCTCCCTTTTTAAATCGTATGGCAAAGGAAATCCAATCGTTTGCATTTGGATATTGTAGCTGGGCTGCCACAGGTGACTGTAACGAGGAGAAGTCGCTCTCCCCACCTCTGTCCATCTTCCTGCTCCAGATGCCACCACGAAACCAAGTCCTAGGCACTGCCCATCGCAGGGGAGGGCCAGGGAGGTTGCCAAAAAGCAGCTTTGTAAACAGCTGCAAATAGCAGCAATTTATTGCTTTGAACATACTGGTTTAACACAAATTTTTTGCCCTCCCCTCCTTGTTTCCCCCTACAGTCTGGAGCCGTATGTTGTATTCGGCTGTCTAATTTAAGTAACATGGAACCAGTTCTAACCAATCATTAGTCGAAATCCAATTTCCTGTCTCTTCTGAGGAGAAAGGGGGAGGATTCCTTTTTCTTTTTCTGTTTGTGTTGTTTTTTTTCCTTTTTTTTCTGTTTTTCTTCCCTTTCCCAGCCGCTGGCTGGCGGAAGCGCTACACGGAGCACGTTCCCACAGCCCGGGGGTCTCCAACAATGACTCTTCCGCCACCGGGGCGGCGCGGGGACCCGCGGCGGCCGCTGCGGCCCTGTGACTCTCAGCACGTACGCTTGCCTCGCTGGGACTGGAACCTGCTTTTCGGTGGGCTTTGTGTGGGAAAAACGCCAAAGCTGAGCAGGAAAGGGAGATTTCCCTCGCGTTCTCCTTGCCTTTGCACTTGGTTTTGTTGGAAATCGGAAAAGATTGTGCCTGTTTGATCTTGGTTTGACAAGAAACAACCGCTTCAGGGCTTAGCGTGTGTGGCATGCGGCGACAGGTTGGGTTTTGTGGTGGGGCAGTGATGGTTTAGGTGTCTTGTCCTGCACTGGCAGGTGGTTGTGGCCTGTGGGGCTGCCTCGCTGGAGGCCTTGGCTCATGTGGCAGTGAAACAGAATGACCCGAGTAAAGATGTCCAGTAGTTGTTGCTCATGCCCAATCAAGAGTTATGTATATTTTTAAAAAGCATATTTAGGTTTCTCCTAGAGCGCTCAAAGGAGAAACTCGTGTTGTTCCCAGTTGGCTCTTAATTAAAGTTTAAACTCACTGCTCTCCACGGAGCTTCATTACCCTCTTTAGCGTCGTTTGACCGCCAGCAGCCAAGCATACAGTGATTTAAAAGGTTACTGAGGGATCTTGTTCCCAGCTCCTTTGGACCGGTCTGATGCTTCTTACTGTAAGTTCATACACAGCCTTGGGGAACAAGGAGCTGAATTTATTGTTGCTGCTATGTAAATGCATCCAGAAGTGCCAGCTCTTGGCCTTTCCTTGTGTCCCAAGTTGGTGCCCCGCCACCGTCGATGGCGGAACATCCCAGTCAAAACCAAAGTTTTGTTTGTGATCTTGTTTGCGTAAATTTCTGTACAAAAAAGGGCTGTTCAAAGGAGAAAAGACATTTGGAAATTTTGCCTGGATATTAGTTTGATAGAAGCAGGAAAATATTAATCTTAGTAGTAACAGATTTGAGTTTCTTACTGATACTCAACATAAGCAGAGTGTATGGTAAAGCTGTTCTTCTTCCTGATTCCTTCAGCAAAGGAAACACAAGCACTGATGTAGATCAGTAAATGATATTTTTTATTTTTTGTTTTTTTTTCCCTTTCTTTCAAGAATATCGACATAACAAACTTCAGCAGTAGCTGGAACGATGGCTTGGCTTTCTGTGCAGTCCTCCATACTTACCTCCCAGCCCATATTCCATACCAAGAACTAAACAGCCAGGACAAGGTACAGTATTAAAAAATCTCATTATTGAAACTAAGGGACCATGTAGTATGAGTTGATAAATAAAAATGAACAAATTCCCATATTTAAGTGTTTTGTTTTCAGTTTTGCTAGGAATTGTAACTTTACCAATATAAACTACCTTTGTGCTATTCTTATAACTTTTTACTATAACTGGACTAACCAGAGCTTTGGAAGAGATGCAAGAAAGGGGAGGAGTTTTCAATAACCTAAACAATTTTAAAGGGTTTTTAATTAAAGTTTTGGAAAAAGTAGTCTTTAAAGACCTGAAATCTGTCAAACATCTTTTGACATTTTTGTTGATTTCTTTCATTATTGCAAAGATGATCTTTGATCATACTTTCTCATATTACTCAATGAGGATATATATCTCAAGAGTGAAGAATAATCTCCGTATATTCTAGTATACTATACTTAAAACCTGCTAGCATGTTTTCTGGAGATGCATTATTAGTGGTCACTGCTAAATATATAAAAATACTTAATGAGCATGTACAGGAAGGAAGTTTTCTTTTATTGCTTATACTGGTTTTAAGAATGAATCAATTAAGAAAATGCTCAGTGTTTTTCATTAATAATGTTTTTTTCAGCATTATCTCCTAATTGAGGCATTAATAAATGTTTTCCATAAGCTTTTGGGTGTTGTTAGGACACTGATTAATGTTGCTCATCTAAATGACTGTGATCAAATTGGATTTGCAAAAGCAATAACTTTACTTTAAACGTTCTTTAAATGTTCAGCACTCTTTTGATTGAAATAATATTTGCTTGGGTTGTAACATGTTTTTACATCTCATGCAGAGAAGAAATTTCACCTTGGCTTTTCAGGCAGCTGAAAGTGTTGGCATCAAATCTACTCTGGTAAGTTTTAAGTGCATATTAAACAAATTATGTCCCATTTATAAAGATCAGATTATTCTCTTTTATACTTTGAAAAGCTTTCATGCTTTGTGCCTAAAAATAATGGCAGATGAGCTCATCTAGAGATTATTGGCCCTCTATCAGACTTGACAAAATGATAAGACACTCCAGTACCTCAGCTGCTGTGCTTAACCCTTATCATTCTAAAGTAAATCCACTCTTATCGACTTCAACTAATACTCCTTTTTGCACTAAAGATAGTGACTGAGATATAAACTTATACTCCATTCTACTGCTTTTTTTTTTGCAACAGCAGCCTAGATAATTCTTAAACAGGAAGATTCACTAAAACTCATCTCTCAGTATCATGAAAAAAATAATAAAGGCAATGTATTTGCTTGGGAAATTAGTGAAAGATGATGATGATAGTGTCTTCAGGAGTACAGATGAACTGCATCCTGGTCTCTGACCTACCTTCAATTTTTTGATTTTGTTGGAAATCCTGAGGTGCAAATTATAGAGCAACTGTATAAACCTTTCTCTTTTCCAGTGTAATATGACTCTAAATTTAACTCTAAGTTTAATTTTAAGTCTAGCCTTCTAATCTGTCAGTATTGCAAATAATTTCACATTTATTGGCTAGTTGTTAAGCTTTCTTGTGCAAGTTTCAGCCTAACGGAGTTAGCAGTTATCAGCATGACAGTATGTACAGGCAAGGAAGACTTGTTAAACTGGGAATAGCCCAAACCCTGGTGAATAACTGCAGAAAATCTGCTAACACTGCAGGTATCAGAAAGACTATTTAAGTAATACTTTAGTAACCTAAATTCTAACAAAGCTGCCATAGTTAGCATCTAATAATACAGCCAAGTTGAGCATTTCTAAAAATAACACTTTTCTTGATCCTTATCAGAGCTGTTGTTCCCTCATTGTATTTGCTCACAATGGCATTGCAACTGCTGGGCATTTGTACATTGACCTTGTCAGTGATTTGAAACATGGGAGTTTTCCTACCAACTTCTGATACAAGAGGCAGACTGGGGAGAATAAGACCAATGATTCTTAGACAAGTTGGCTGTAGCCTGCATGGTTGCTTTGCATCCTTTGATTTTGTTGGAGACATTCTCGGAGGGAAAATTGAATGGAATTGAATCTTCTGTGTGGAAACTGTATCCATCTGAAGGATTTGGTACCCATGTGCCTACTACATAGGTGCATACACAGTGTTTAAAGCATCTTTGCTGTTTGTGTTTTCTCCTTGGCTGTGCTGCAGGAATGGAGAGCAAGCTCTGAAGGGTGAATAAGGGTGTGAAAACTACTATACTTAAACAGTAGTGACAATCTAAGGGGTAGTAAAGCTTAACAACCTTTCTCCTTACCTTTTTGCTCAAAAAAATACTCAAAGGTACTAGGTTCAGTAGTCTGCTGTAAAGTGATATTCAACCTTTTATTGATCCTTATCCTGATAGAAGTTTCTTTCTTTTGGCTCAGTATCTGGGCCTTGATTCTGTGCCTCTCAGTTCCTAGGCAGGTCTCATTGACTTGCAAGGCTGGCGTTATGGTATGTAAACAGCAAGGTCTTGACTACTAATGGTACTAAACAAGGGACAACTCAAGCATGTCCTAATATTAGGCATTTCAGTCTCAAGTCAGCAGAATAACTGTGCATCGACAACCCAGAAATAGGAGTTTGCATTTTGCAAATAAGGTCAGGATGCATGGAGGAAAACAGACCTTTCTTGCCTTTATGCTTCCAACTAGGTAAACTTTCCAACTGCATCATTAGCATGAATTTGCAAGAACATTACCATGTCATTTACAAGGCTGTCATTTCTAATTTTGACCACTGTGTTTTATGTGACAGGACATCAATGAAATGGTGCGAACCGAGCGTCCAGACTGGCAGAATGTCATGCTGTATGTTACAGCAATTTACAAATACTTTGAAACCTGAGACCCTAGAAATCCAACAGACTTGTGGGATAGAACTGAAATTAGCTACCAGATGGAAAACATACTGAAATGCTAATCTCCATTTCACTGAAAACTGGCAACATTTTGAGTCCCCTCAAACTTCAGTGACGTGATCCGGGATTGCCTCGAGTTGCTTCAGCTACTAAGCCTGGAAACACCTGTTTAAAAGCAAGAACTTGTTGCCACCCTGCTTGGAATAACCCAAGTTATTAAGCTATCCGGATTAACTATTAAAAAGCCTGGACTTCTTATGTACTGCCTTTCCAGCCAGACTTCCTGAAGCTTTCTTTCCTAAGAAAGTGAGATGAATGGACTGTCTAATATATAGGAGACTGAATGTACAGCTAAAGCTTTGAGAAGGAAAAGGATAATTAATTTTGGCGTCATAATACTGAACTTTGTGTAGTGTCCCAATGCCACAGAGTCTGAATATTCTACCCACAACTTATGGCACCCTCAATGCAGTAGAATTCTTGATGGTAATTCAGTTACTGCCTTTATTGCTATTTTCCCTCCTTTAAAATGTGCACAATACTCTAGGAAAACGAGCTGTTGTCCCGTGATGTCGACTTGGCTGAGAAATGCTCTCGATACCTCGAAGAATTTGGCACAGAAGAACTGATCATAACCAAGCTTCATTATAAGCCTACCTCTGTCACAGCGATGTGGCTTCCAACTTTACCTAATGGATTGTAAGGACTAGCACGTAGAACTCCTGGTTTTCAGGGTGCGGTATGGAAAGGAATCTGTCCTAAAACCTCCCTGTGCTTCCATTCTAGCAGAGATTAATCAATAATCTGCCCTTGTGTAGCCTGTTCTTTGCTGTGTTCCTCCTTGGCCTGTGTAGCGCACACACACACAACCTCCCCCGGCTCTCCTTTACAGCAATACAAACACATCCTGAATTTCTGTGGTAGAATTTTGGAACTGGGATAGTATTTCCTCTTGAGAGGAGAGAAGTTTCATTGAGATGTAGTAATGAAGTAGCTTGTCTCAAAATCTAACTTTGCTGTGTTTTCTGTGTATTTTTCACTGATCTTGCACATCCTTATCTGCTTGGCGGAAGATGAGACCTTCTCAGGCAAGAGCTGTGGAGGAACCAGTGTGATGTGTGTGTATCCAGAAGTCTACAATATTGTGTGCAAAAGTCACAAAGAAGGAATTGAGAAACTTTAGTCTGCTCAGCTTTTCTTTTATTTACACCTGAATTTGTGTAACAGCTCTCGGGCAGAAGAGTTCGTGTAAGTGCCTTAGCTATCAGTGAATTGATGCATCCAGGCACTTCAGGGCCTCGTGCAGAATGTTAACAGCCCCAAATGATTTCCTTTGTCAATTTATCATAAGCTGTTAAAATGTTTGTTGTAATCTTGTTTATCAACTCAGTGCAGTCTGTGATAGCTCCTGTCTCTTATTTTCCTTGAATAGTCATTAACATTGAAGCCACACTTGAGCATCCCTCATTAATATTAAGCATAAGGCTACTTTAGAAGTGACTTCTGTGACAACTGCTATGTATAAGCACATGTTCTTTCAGCACAGGAACCCTGTTAGAAATTAAGTGAACCTGCCATTCCTGTGGTGCTTTTATGACTGTTAAGGACCCATTTGAATGTCATAGATGTTAATCCAGTGAATGCAGCTGTGCTTGGCATCTCCCGAACTTCATCATGGTATAAAAGCACAGGTTTAAGTCTATCATTGCCAAATCTAAAAGGCCAGGGTCTGAAGAACAGAGACCATGTAAAAACTCAGTATGTTTCTAGCAACTAGAATTATAGAGACTTATGGATCTTAATGCTTACATTGATGTGTCTGTAATGGAAGAATACAGTAAAAATGTGCCTGGGAGAATTATGAAAAGTTGCTAAAAACTTAATCCATCCTGAGAGGCTTTGGTGAAGCTTTCAGAACAACAGTGACTCAGACAGTGTTACTGTTCTTTAGGCTGAACATCTCTAAAAATAGCTAGATACCCTCAGATTCATTGGTACATTGGAAGAGCCAGCATAAGCTAACAAAGGCTTTAAGTGAAAAAGCCTTCATGGACAGATTTTAATAAAAATGAAATAAAACATCAAGCACATTTTTTCTAATATTTGTTTACTTTTTCTTCAAATAAAGACACCATAAGCATAATCCTATTGAAAATATAAACTAATGCTGTCTTAGATTTCATCTCTTAATAGTAAAGTCCTGTTTTGCACATTAGTGCAAAAAACCTCTTGTGCAAAAACTACTTAAAACCTCTGCTCTTCCTTTGAACAGCCATCCTTATATATGATTGTCTTCTTGCCTTAGAACTGAAAAAAATATTTTTCTAACGAAAAAGGCAACAGTTGCTGATCTAAATTTACTTGTGACCTGTTTTGTTAATGTAATTTGAGCTTAAAGCTGTTTTGGTGTAATGGTGAATTTATGTGGAATCGTGTATCAATCCCTAATTGAAATAACATTAACAGTATATCATTTTAAAAAGTGTTTTTTCTAGCTATTTTCAGTTGAAAAGATGAGCTCTTAGTCTGCAGACAGGGAGAAAAGCTATTAGCAATTACATGTCAGGGGACACCCTCATTTGCACTCTGGAGCTTTGGATTCTGCTTGGTATGACCTATCTGATAAACTTGGACTGAATCTCTAAAGATTAGTGGGTTCCATAAGAAGGTTTTTTTTATACTGACATATCTGAGCCTGTACAATAAGATGCTGCACTGCTGTCAAATTGAAAGCAGTGAAGCAATGGAAGATCTACAGCAGACCTAATGCCCTGCTGCATTTGACAACCTAGTATTCCTAATGGTTTAAACTACATTGTTTTCTCCCAAGAGGTAGAGCTGTAGCCCTTCTGGAAATAGCCCTTCTCTTAATCCTGAAAGAGCCTGTCCCTTCGTGCTTATAAAGTGCAAATTCTGATTTCTGTTGATTTTTTTCCTTCTTATCCAGAAAATATTTCTGAATGTACTTACAAAAGCCAAGTATTTTATCATCAGTTTTTATTCTTGCATTTTAATCTGTGCCTTGCTAATGCCTGTGCTGTAATTCATCAGGGTTGCTCTTTGCCAGCTTCAGTGAGTGGAGGAACAAAACGTTGGTGTCGGATACACTGATACCACTCCAGCTATGGGATCTTCAGGATCTTCAGGATGTCAGTTGAGGACCAGGTGCTTTTTAGGTTTGGCTGGTTGACATCATCTTGATTCAAGGTGATCAGCAATGAACCAATTGAGCAATTCAGAGATGTCCTTTACCTGCAAGGAGGGATGGGAGGGATTAATTTTGATGATTCAGGAAAACTCTATCAGAAGTTTTCACGTGGAATATTGAGCAATAACAGAATTGAAGTGACTCAGATGGAATTACAGCTTATTTGGCTTTTAAGTGTGTTGTATACTTAAATGGAGACACTAATTCAGTAGCACTGGGGAATCTCAGTGGCCCTTGTAGAGAGATCTCAAACTTAGGCTTCTGAAAATCTTTGAGCAGAATTTTCCTTATTGAAATTACATTTGTAGATAGGCTATCCAGACAGAATAGCACTATTAATTACAGTATATTCTGATTTTAAAACTAGGCTTTTTTCCCCTTTTCAGTTAAATGTTCCTCAGCTTTTACCAGCTTGATTCTGACAGTTTTTTGTCTCTAGTTTATTAAAATATTTCTACTATTTGAATGTTTTTCTGAAGAAAGTTAAGGGTGGTTGAACTTGCCAGAGCAAAATAAACTCAGCTTTGCAGGATTGGTCTAAACTCCTGTCAGTTCCACTGTTCTCAGTGGGGCCTCATTTTGGATAACAATCTCAGTGTTCAGTTCTTCTCCATTTACCACTGCTGGTTCTGCACTACAGACAGGAGAAGATTCCCCATTTGAATTGTGCAGGGTCTTTTGCATGACTTTAAGCACCGTTCTTAGTTATTGCTTGCATTTTTTGTGCAGTTGTGACTCTTGTTATAATTATAGTGTTGTTTCAAAGGCGATGGGGAAGCTAAAGTCTTAGACCTTTCAAACTGTGGTCGATCACACAGCCTAATCCTTCTGGAAGGGAACACGGTTTATATGCATTTACACCATTTTTGCCTCTTGTGAGAAATATTCTTCTCCACGTAGCCTGAGAAAGAAAATTTTAAAATGTTTAAATGCCCAAAGTGATTTAAACTATAGGTTGTTTTATGATCCGTCCCTAGATTTGAGTGCAGAGATGAGTATTTGTTTCTGTTTTATGTTCTACCAAGGCCTACTTCTGCAGTTCCTCTCTTTAAGTTAGCAGTAGTGAATTACATGGATTACTGCTGTTAACCAGTTGGAGAGTTGGAAGGAAATGGTATTAGAGCAGGGTAGCAACACAGCGGTTCAAAACACTCAAGTTTTAGTACAGAGAGACTGGCAAAATATGAGAGATGTTCCTGACTGCCCCATGACTCCTGTGCAGCCCACATTTCTCCAGGATACCCTGCCGTTCCTGCCCTAGGATCCTCATCCCCCTAAGTGAGCTAAGGGTGCTCAACAGCTCATATTCCATGTGCTCATCCCTGTTTAGAAAGGGATCTCTTAAGAGCCTTCCTGCACGGCGCTCCGCCCTGCTTCCAGTTGTCCATTCATGTAGGTTTTCCCTCTTACATTCCCTTTGATTTCAATATCGATGTTTAACTACCCTTTGTCGTTGGCAAAATCAATATGCTAAGCATCTGGAATAGGCAGCAAGTATTTTTTTGATAATTAACGAGAAATAACTTAAAAGATCAAATTTTTTTATAGCTCTGATCTTCCTGAGTGTTGATTTTAATGTCTTTTTTTCTTGTGTATTTGTGCTTGCCAGCTTTTTAGGATAGAACCCCTTGAACTCATCTTGACAAGGCCACTGTCCTGGCCTCCCTAAGTGAAGTAGCTCTGCTCTCATTGATAGAAATTATTTCCCCACACTGAAAACTTAGTAATAACCATGAATAACAGATGATTTTTTTTTCCAGCTGACATATATCTTGTACTTGGCATAGTTTCTACCCCGAGGCCAGTGCCTGCCACACAGTTGCGCATAAAATTCCCCTCACTTCCAGCAAGATTTCTGTAAGCAAAACACTAGAGTAGCTTTCTTATGGGATGCAACAGCCTGATGTGATTAAGACTGTTTTGGTTTGAATCCCCTATTTTCAGGAGGCTTCAGCGTAGCCAAAATCACTTACTCAAAGCTCAAACGTGGCACATCCAGTCTCCACTGGGACGTATCTTTCTGTTTAATAATATTTTTAAGAGATGGTATTTATGAAAACTCAAAAAGAAATGTCATGAAGCTAGTTTTGTTGCACTTTTCTAAGGCTTTTGTATTTTGCATAGAGTTCTAGAGTATGGACAAGTTGTTTGGGGAAGCTGAGCTCTCAGACTTACTCTACCCCAGCACAGCCATGTACTACGTGCGTTTTCATTCTAATAATCTGTATTATTTTAACTGCATGTAAGTAGTGTATTTATGTGGTAGTTTGAAAGCCCAGTGGACATTTCCTGCTGCAAAGGAGCCATTGGCAGTCTTGCTTCCACAGTTCACGGAACGTGGAGTTCACAGACTTGCTTTAACAGGAGACTGCATTTGGAATAGTGGAATAATAGTTGTTTTCTTTTTCTTGAGTTTTATTTCAACAAAATGGGAGAAAAAGGTTCTGTCCCGTTGTTGAATTTTCTCTGGAGGCTTTTATTGGTTTCCAGTTGTTGCATATGTTCAGCTAGGATGATTACTTGGGAATCAGTGAAGAGGGCACAAGAATACATATGCACTCAAGTAAGGAATCTAGGTAACTTAGAACATTTCAGTTTGTTGGAATCTTTTGCTTTTACATGTAATGTCAGTTTTCCTATTTTTTAAGTAAAGTCAATTTTCCTATTTTTAAGTAGCACTTTTGTATTTATCATCTGAAGGGTTTTTTGGAGGGGAAGAATAAGCCTTTATGTTATCTAAGGCAAAGAAAGTATAAACCTACTAAGCAGAATATTGGCTAGTCAGCCTCCGGACCATCAGTTCACTTGAGGTCAGTAATGATGGAGAGTTGCCCAATGTGTTGGAGATAAACGAGTGATGCCACTTGGTTGGGTAGCTCTCCACATGGCATCAGAAGGGCATTAATTGGCACCTCGCCCCGTTAATTGGGACAAGGGTGCCTTCAGGTGCGAGGCAGAACTGACCAAATTTTGGCACCTTCATGAGAGCAGAGCTTTGTGGATGTCTCTCAATCACAGCACTACGTTGGATAAGGACTAACTTTGACATAACACTACAACCTGTAATAATATCTTCTGAAATAGCTCATTTAGAACTCGTTTTCCATGGCTCTTCCCATTTATCCAGCCTTTCTGGTTTGTTTTGGTTTTACGCTCATTTGAAACAAGACTGTTAGACTCATCTAGCAGCGTTTGTATGGATCTGATAACTCCTTTTCTACGCAAGAAGCACTTTTCCTTCCTTACATAACCCCTTCAAATAGCTTATACGCGCACACACGCATTTAAGTCAAAATAAATGTGTGTATGTAGGTCCTTAATAAAACTGAAAATGCTTCAAGAAGTGTTTGAGTCTTGAACACTTAGGGTGATCTAACAGCTTACAAGCTTAAAGTTAAGGAAGGGAAAAACATTCACTCCCAGTTGCATCTGAGAAAACTGGTTTGAATTTGAATTTGAAAATTTGAAAGTGTTGCTCAAAATTTAAAGTTCACCCTGTTTCTGGCTTGAAAGGCACCCCCTGTTCATCATTGGAACTTAAAAGGTCGGCTCACGTGTTTCTAAGCTAAGCCTTTTGGAGGACCAATATGCTTTTAGTTTGCAAGGACCACTACAGATCTGGGCATTTGCTTTCTCCATAATATATTCTGTACGAGTATTTAGTATGTATGCCTTCAATTTGCCAATGTTGCCATGTTTTTCTTCTTAATTATACATTAAATAAAAATTACAGATAGCAAAATGTGTGTTATGTTTTCATGAGTGTGGCTACTGCGAGAGGGATTAATTTAACATGTATTTCTGCTGCTGTGGCTTTTCAATGTTAAAAGAAGTCGTTTTGGGAGGTTTTTGTGCCATGGATGTGAAAACTGCATGTGAACACTTTACATAAAAATCCCAATTTTTTAATGCCATCTATCTCTATTTTTTAAATGATAGTGTTAAGAATATCCTAGATAGATATATCTATTTAGCTTGGATTGTCCTGGTCCTTAATATAAGATTAGAATTAGATTGGCATATATACTAGAATATAGAACTATATTAAATTATTAAAATGTTCTGCAGAGAAGAAGTTGCCTCCCTTGGGTTGAACTCTCTTAAGGTATAGGAGAGCATCCTCATCTGTAGGAGAATCAGAGGATTTTAAGAAAAATGCCTAAAAATAAAAACTCCAGATGAAAGCGAAGACTTAGAACACTTGCAATTTGGACTGTTTGTTATGGTTTAGACCATCTAAGCCGTGTAAGTGGTCTAGAAGAGCTGGTTCCAGATGTGTTCAGGTGTTTGGTGGCCTGTTCTTTCCTTCAGCAGGTGTGTGACGGCGCCGGGCGAGTGGCTTGGCCGGAGGCACTGGGCAACCTGCAGGTGGAGATGAGCAGCAGCCAGAGCACAGCTGGGGCCTGAGGTGAGTCACAACAGGAGCTCTGTGCCCTGGGCCAGGCTGCAGCTTTTCTGTCCTCTGTTTATTGAAATAGTGTTCTCCAGCCTAAACTTTTCCTGGCTTCTCTTCCAGCAACCTTAGAGAATTATGGTAAAAAATGAAATTAACTCCATGAAGGTCTTGAAAAACTGCAGTTAGTTAAATATTTTTGCAAGTATTACTGTTGTGAATGAATGATAACTATCTGGAATAGTAAAATAAAGCTCTAAGCAGCAACAGCAATAGGTGTCTTAGAATGTTGTGACACTTGCCATGTTAATGAGTGCTTGGAGTCTAAACCCCCAGCACTATGAAAGGAGAAAACAGCTAATTACTGACGCTACTCCTGTCAATTCAGGATGAGGAGAGCATTTATATCTGGATAAATGTTTTTACTAGCTCCATTTCTATTAGAAAACTCAGCTTGAAACTTCTCCAATGCAAGGCTTTGCTTGGGAGGAAAAAAATATCATCTATGACTAAAATAATATAGATAAACAGTGGCTGGTGCCATCAGTCCTAGTTAAGGTTTTCACTAGCCCTTAGTTGCCTTCTTGATTACGACAGACAGCTTAATTGAACTATGATTATAGAACCTAATTTCTCATTATGAAAGACCCTGTTTAAAAAATGATGTCAGTGTTCTAGGTGCTGTGATATTTAGTGATATTTAGTTCGTGATATTTAATTCTTCTGAGACCTCCGTAATCTCATTGGCAAAATAGATTTGAACATAGTGGAGCTCCTTGCCAGGGTGTTTTTGCAGCTAGACATATACATTGATTATATAGTGTGAGGTTTATTATATAGCTTGGGGATATTGTATAGCATGAGGGACACACTGTCCAGTGCTGTGTGGGGCTCATCCCTTGTTTATGCAGCCTTTCCTTAAACCATTCTGGGCTCCTTCTTCTTGCCAGAAGCCTAAAAGTTAAGCTCCTAAAAATGAAAGAAACTTGAGAGGGAGACATAACAGTCTGGAGACAACTTCACTGAACTGTTGACAATATCATATTTTCCACAAAATAAATAAGCAGCAGAGCACTGAACTGCCAGCGTTGAGTTAACGCTGTGCATCTCGGGGGCAGCATGCAGATAAAAATTTTCCTGAAAATGGTATTTCCAGCAATCATTTACCTGCACCAGTGACTTCCTCCTGCCGGAGCCCTCAAACTCCAGCAGTTCCTTTTTGTGTAAAGGTAACTTCTGTGTGTTGCTATAATAGAAAATAAGAAGCGGTTGCTCTGCAGCTTCCATGCGATGGTTCACGCTGCTCATTTCTTTTCCCCTATTAATAGCCCACCAAGAGTGCTCGAGTTCAGCCTGAGCTGCATCTCGGCCCCTCTCACGCTGAGCAGCACTTGGGAAACTGAAGCCTGTTTGGAGAGTGCCCTTGTGTGGAGGTGAGGCCAGTTCTTGACATAAAACTCCCCAAAACACGACCTGAGTGCATAAGGTGGGATTTAAACAGAGGAAGATGAGGGTTTCTTTCCCTGTTGGTGTAAATCTTACCTTGACTTTGATTGCTTTCATGTAAACGAGAATCCTCTGGTTAAATTGCTAGAAAGGGGCATTTCAGCAAACGAAGGACCTGCTTCCTCTGCAGAAAATCTAGCCTCCTTCTTCAACATTGATTTAAAATGACTATCAAATTTTCCATGTTAATGTGAGAGAAATAATTGCAGTTTGTGCAGACTCTCACTTGTTTGCAATGGTCCTCAAGTAACCCTGCCCTCCATCCCTCCTGCACGCACACAGGTCTCCTTTCTAGAGGGATTGGGGCAGTAGTTTGGGGTAGGGCATTAGGGACAAACTGGAATACATGCATTAGAATTTCTTGTATATAGGAAAAAATCAGCCTGGTTAAAGGAGAAAGCAGCAAGGTGGAGTAGAGCTCTGAAACAAGGATCTATGGGGACGTGAAAGCCTGGAAATAACCATTTGTTTCTGTCTACATTACAAAACCAGCTTCTGAGGCCATAAATCACTGTGATCTTAGCTCCAGTGCAGCACAGGGATTAAATCTGCTGTGGTCATTTACCCGTTAGCTGCCAAACAGCCCCGTTTTAAAGCATTTACATCAGTCTCCTGTGTTCAGGTATCAATCTGTTAGAAACTGCCACCTCCATCCACAGCCAAGGAACCAACAATAGTTTTTATGAGTGTTTCTATGAGCAGAGCTGCTGCTTGTGGGTCACTTTCTGGTAGCTAAAAGTGTGTTGATGCAGAAAGTGCAGGATTGCCCCTTAACCTCAAAGAAAAACTATGTTGCTTGAAGGCAAAATTACATTTTTCAGTTAAAAAAAAAAAAAAAAAAAAAAAAAAAAAACACCTTTCGGATTCTGTTCTAGACGAATCCATGACCGTTTCCAATAGGATGATGCTGCAGCCTCGGTGTCCGGCGCGTTTCTCCTGCTCCCTTTCCCCTTGGCGAGGGTGGCAGGTTTCTCGTGGCTGTGTTTGCCTGGTCTGTGTTTGCAGTGACACCCCTGGCCTGGCCAAACGGCCCCTGGCCAACGCAGCGGCACCAGAGAGCAGGGTGAGCTTCACCCTATGCCTCCAATGCGAGGCTTTTAGTTGGACTTTGCCCTCTCCTTTTTAAGGAGAACTTCTCAAGGTTTGTACTATGCTGATTTTTTATCTAGATTTTACTCCATTAGCTCAATTAGAAAACCCAGGATGTGCAGGTAGTCCCATGTCACTCCTTTTAAACTGTGCAAGAAGCCAAAATTCAGGAGTTTGCTGCTCATTCACCCAGGGGAGCCCTGTCTGGCACGTCTCGATGGCAGGTTTGCAGAAGCCCTTCTTGGCCCTGCGTGGTAGGATCAGGAAATCTCATTTCTCCTGTGGTCCTGGGCGTGTTTGAGCCCAAAGCCTGAAGCAGAAGCCTCCCCTAGGCTCATGTCAGTCACCAGGGCCATTCGGCTGCCAAAAAAACTTCTCTGTTTCCAGCTGATTTCTAGCTGCTTTCTCACCCATCTGCGTAGTCCCTGCTCAGACTGTACTTGCTATAGCAGTAGCATTAATGATGCCTAGGAAGCCTTGGGAACTTAGTGCTCTTGCAGTCCCCTCCTCTGTATATGTATAAAAACCAACCCAGAAAAAAAGCAAACGCTGATTGTATTGCTTAACTGTCAATTTAATGTCATGGCTGGCAGAAAAATCGATGGCCATTATGAGCAGGACAATACACCCTGAATACACCCAGGAACAAACATAATCTGAAGAGTGAGACAGGATCCTTGACAGGGGCAGCAGCACGAAAAGAACAGAAAAGCAATTCCGGTATTCAAAACCCAGGCAAAAGATTTATTCATATTTGACTGTAGTAATGAAAACTCTCCTGTGCCGTTGTTCAGTAGGACGCAAAGCTGCAGCTGCCTGTTGTAAAACACTTAAGTCTGCACAAGTAATTAGTGGGCATTTGCAGAAGGGCCGTCTGAGGAGCTCCGCGAGCCGCTAATATTGATTTTTAATGTATCCTGAAAGTCCACGGAGCTCCAGACTACACGGAGAACATCAGGTAACAGTGGGATGAGCGAATATTCCTTATGGATTGGAGTGGCCAGGAGGGGAGGCAACCCGGGCTTTGGAGGTGTTATAGGTAGTGTAGGCTGAATGACACTGTTCAGCACGTTCATGGAATAAACGCTCATTTCCAATGAGCATTATAAGTTATAACTGCTGTTATAGCTTATAGTTATCAGCCAACCCTGTGAAATCATCAAACGGTGGCTTTTAGGTAGTTTATGACATGCTACTTTCAAAGAAAATCAACGTTTGCACTGAATCGTCTTAAAACCAATTAAAATCTGAAAT